GTTGTGGGTACACAATTCTACAACACATGACCTGTGCACTGTATTCACTACCCCAAGTCAAGTTTCTGTCACCATGTATCCCCCTTTCCCTTCCTCCATCTCCCTCCACCCCACCTTCGCCGGCAGTCACCACACTATTGTCTGTGTCTGTGAGTTTTTTCTCTTCAATTTGTATTTCATAATGTCTTCACCTTTTTTACCCACCCCACTAACCCTCCTCCCCTCTGGCAACCAACCATCAGACTGCACTGCATCTGTGAGCCTGATTCTATTTTGCTTGTTTATTCTTTTGCCCATTTTTCAATTTAGTTGTTTTCTTATCTTTAAGTTTTAAGAGTTTTTTGTGCATTTTGGATACCAGTCCCTTTTCAGATAGACATTTTACAAATATTTTCTCCCAGTCTGTGTGGCATTTCTCTTAGCAGTTAGAATATTTATGCTTTAAGGAGAAAGGGTTCTAAAAATACAATATTGCAATAGCAGTAAAAGGAAAAATTTGTAGCAGGTGTTTTATGTTCTCTCTCAGGTTGTGTCAGGGAACCCTGTCTGTGGACCCAGCTCAGTTTCATCGGAAGGGGAGGGTCAGAGCCCGGACACTACTCAGCGTTACCAGAGGGTGTGCAGTAGGGCTGGGCAGGAGAACAGAACCTGACACTGAGCTGCATCACTTCTGAATTAAGAACGATCTGGGAACTATGTTTGCAGGGCAATCCAACCTCCCCTGCAGGGATTATACTATGCCTAGGGTATGAATTCCTGTACATGAATCCAAGTATGTGAGAGATGATCACTTTTTCATTTCCATTAATTCAACCTCATACCACCTCTGAGCCACCATTCTACCAGTTGGACAGGAGACTCTTTTGATCATACAAGGTTCCCTTCCTCTCCAGCAGCCCAGGAAGGACTCCCCGCTGTGTAGAAAGTGGTGAAAGGGCCTCAAGTCCTCTGTCTCAGAGGCCATTGGCAACCTCACTATCTAGCCCACAGTGGTTTATGAAGTCTGGCAGCTCTCTGCCCTCAGGCCACAGTGGGCTTGACTTTATCTGCTGAGACTGGGACCCCTGAGCCCAAACCTCTGTCATCCCTGAGGTTTTTATCCCTTGGGAGCACCAAGAGTGGGTGCTTGGTTCTACTGTTTATAGTATCCACACACCTATTCCCTTCCCTCCCTTCCTCTTGCATCACAAAAGCACTGTCTCTTTGCTCTCAGCTTCTAGGGTACCTGTATTGTGTCTTCCATGGGCTTTCACAAGAGTCCAGAAGTGCCTTTGACTGTGGGTTTCTTCTACTTTTTCCCCTGCAAAAATCACTGTGTCAGGATAACTCAGAGAAGAAATGCTAATTAACATTTCAATGAAGAATGCTGTTACAGTTATTTGTGGGAACTATTTTATCCTATATTGGCACCACCATCACCTGGAGGACTTTTAGACTAGACTGCCTTTTCCACCCTGGCCACAGGAAGCCACTTATAAATAACAACAAATGTATTGCTGAAATTGAAACATTCAGCTTAAGTGTTCTTCAGATGTTTCCAAATGCCTACAAGTTTCCAACTTTGCCTCCCAGAATTAAGCCTAACTCTGTGGTCCCAGGGAAATATCTCCTGGGCAGTGTTGAGCAAGAATATCAGGAAGGTGTCTGTTTTTTCCCCCGCAGCTACCATCTGTAGCCACTCCCTTCCTGCTGCTTTTCCTTGCAGTCCTCGCCCTGAGAACATTCAGGAGTGACGCAGGGAGGAAGCAGCCCTGCACAGAAAGCAGCTTTTTGAGGTTAACAGCAACTTCCTTCTCCCAAACACGAGGAACTGATCTTCATTCTACTCCACCTCCTCAGCATTTGATACTGTTGACCACCATCGAACCACCATTGCTTTTGAAACTTCTCTGTCCTTGGCTCTTACAACAGCTGGATAAGGCCTCCTTGTCAGATTTTTGAGTGGCACAAGGCTAGAGGGATAACTAATACAATGGACGACATGTATGGGATTCAGAGTCATTTTAATTGGCCCCAAACACTGACACACGGACAAGATGGGGCCAGCAGGTGATGATCTGACTTAACATGCAAAAAAATCACGGTGAGCCCTGACAGGGGTGGCTCAGTTGGCTGGGCACTGTCCTGCAAAGTTGAAGGTCTCCAGTTCTGTTCCCTGTCAGGGCGCGTGCCGGCGTTGTGGTTTCTGTCCCCGGCGGGGTGCACGCAAGAGGCACCCAATCAGTGCTTCTCTCTTATGCGGATGTTTCTCTCCCTCTCTTTTTTCCTTCCTTCCCTCTCTCTAACAAATAATTAAAATCTTTTAAAAATTAAAAAACATTATGGTCAGCCAACCTTCCAGTGCAACTGCTAATGGGTTAATTTGATCTCTGACTCATTAACAGAAGTGACATTAGTGCCCATCCCACCCTGTGAGCCCTCTCTTCAAAGAGGTATGTTGACAAATTGTCAGGGAACCCGGTGGCAGTCGGGGAGCCACCGAGTGATCAGGTCTAGGACCACATCATATGAGGGACAGTTGAAGACACGGACTGTATTTAGTTGAGAGAAGAGACTGTTCTGGAAATTGATAAAATCTGCTTTCAAGTATTTCAAGGGTTTTATATAAGCCTGGAAATTAATATACATTCTTGTAGTTGCAGGAAACAGGACAGGGACAACTTGGTGGTACTTATGGGGCTGGGGAGTGAAGGGTGGGAGATGCGGGATTACTGTAAAGAAGACCCGGATAACTAACTGTCGTATCAACTAGTGAGTTCTTCTGACGTAAGTGAGAAAGCAAGGTCTGAATATCCCTCTGTTGGAGGTAACATCACAGGGGCTCTTGCTTGAGTGAGAGACTGAAATGACCTCTGGATCCCTTAAATAACCTTGCAACCCTTAGGGCAAGAATCCCAGGACACCACCCTATCGTCCTTTATTTCTGCTGCCTGTCTCACGACATTGAGGGAGGCTGCTCTAAGAAGAAACTAAAATGAGTAGATGAGTCAGGGATAAGGAAAAGAGAAAACAATAAAAGCTTTTTTCAAAAAAAAGAGAACCTACTAAATGCTAGAATATGTGCTAGGCACCAGATATATGTTATCCTATTTAATTCTCGCAGTAAAACTTATGAGATATTTAGTATTACTTCTGTGAGGCAGCCAAGGCTCAGAGAAGTTAAGTAACTTTCCCAAGAACACACAGACATCAAGTGCCACTAGGAACTAGCATTTCAACGCACGTCTCTGTGATTGTAAAGCCCAGCGTGACAAGTTATTTTTACCCATCCTTTATTTATTGCAAATGATACTGCTTTGAAAAAGCTTTAGTATTAACATAAAGATTCTGTGTAAAATTACTTAAAGTTAAGAGAAAAACATTGTAGAACAAACAATATAGATTTTACATGGATACGAAAGAGTAGCTGGAAAGAATGAAGTTTGGGAAATACTATTGCAAATATTTTGATAGCAGCATGTTCCAGTTTAGTCTATCTTATATTTTGACTGTTGAGTGCAAGGAAAGGAAAGACACTTAAAGACAAAGTTGACTGTGAATTAATTCTCCTGTGCTTTGATGGGTAGGTAATTTCATGTGTTACAATAAGGAAACCAAATGGACCCTGCCAAATAAAAAAATTATGGTTGTAAAATCCAGAGGAAAACCCCAGGTGGGGCCTATTCGAATAAAGGATGAAGTTTCCAAGGTATGCACACAGAATGGCTGAGGGGAAGTGATGACCCTGTGAGTCAGGGCCCAGGACCCACACCGGAGTCCTATGGGTTTGAGAGGCCCTGGGGGGAAGGTGAAGGGGTTTACAGACCTGTTTTGGGAAAAATGATCATCACCTTTCTGGTGATAGAGGGAAGACCTTTGTGGAAAGTTCAAAGTTAAAGTTGGAAAGTCCGAAAAGAAGATAGGAAAATTGTAATGAAGACTGCATAGCTGCACGGATGCCAGGTGATTTATGTGCAAGATAGCATGTGTGTTTCACAACAACGCAGCAAGGAAGTTATTACGCTTCATAGATTAGAGGACTGAGACCGGGAGATGCTCAGTAACGTGCCCAGGGTCCAGGAGCTGAGCCAGGACTTGCTGAACCTTGGTGCAGTGGTTCTCGACCTGCACTGCCTCCCCTGAGCCACACGTCTTCGCTTGAGTGGGCTTGCTCAACCCATGCAACAATAGCAGCTTTCACTTTGTCACTTAATTTCTCTAACCGTGCAGGGCAGAGCGAGTCTCCAAGAGAGCGGGGGAGGCATGCTTGAAGAGGGTTGCCTCTCTCCTGAGCTCCAATTCTGCAGACTTGGAGGCATATAAATGTCCCCCACATCGAGCAGAGGGCTTTGCAGAGCCCGATCGGGTCAGAAAAAGAAGTGGTGGGTGCGTGGGCAGGATCGTATATGTAAAGCCTGTCCCTGCTGAAGCACTAGGCTTGGAAAAATCCACTGGGCATTCACACACATTTCACACTTCTGCTTTGACTTGTTCCCACTCTCAAGGGTACCGCTCACTTCCAGGAATTGTGGACCAAGGTAATAGAAACATCTAGATTAGAACATCTAGGAACAGATTGGGATAATATGGAAATAGGGGCTGGGTATATTCATTGGCTTCTATCAGGATCTATGGAGAGGTAGGTACTCAATGAACAATCAGAGGGGAAGGCAGCGGGTGAAACTCCTGGTCTCTCTGCTCTCTCTTGCTGTCCTCTTGCGCCAGACACAGTGCCCGGCATACAACTGCCCAGTAAAACCTTTGTTAAACTGAGCCGAATCTTTCCCCGGGGGGCCTACAGGCTGCACCCCTGGATTTGTCCATCTGTTAGGGAATGTGTCTTTTTCATGTTTGTGGCTGGGGCTGTCTTTGGGGGGTTTCCTCAGGGCTTTACACTCACTCTCTGAGAGTGCATTCATAGTCATTATGATCAGTGGAAAAGCCCACCTGCCAATCTTATCTGGAAGAAGAGCCCGGCCCTTTCTGTGGTGTTGTTTCTCTCTAGTCAGTTCCCCTTTCTACATTTGCGCCCTGGCCTCAGCCCTAACATGTTTCTTGTCTACAAGGAGTGTTAGGAAAAATGGGTAGCTCACAAAGCCTCCTCTTCGTTTATTCTTGATACCTTGCTTCTGTGTTCCTCTGGAATGCCACTCGGCTTACACCTCTGGTTTCTGGGAGCTGCCGTGGATGGGCAGTTGCGACAGGTATGTTCTTATGAAGCTGGTGTGCTTGGGGAGTGTGGTGTGGAATGAAGCTGCATCTATGGTAGCTGTTCAGAGGTGGGGCTGATGGCCGTCAAAGGAGGGGGTAGAAGGGGTGTGGAATACATGCTTAATACCTGTTGTGGGCTTGATTCTCAGACTGGTTGCGTTCGAGGTGGGGCATTACAAAACTGTGTCTTTCAGCCAGATTCCTTTCTCTGCTTTGCTGAGCTTAGCGACAGGACAGGCAGGAAATAGAAGGGGCCACTTAACCAACAGCCTCTCTTGGCCTCAGCGTGCTGGGGGCTCCGGGCAGCCCTGCACTAGGAGAAGCTGTCCAAGGATGCTGGCTCTGCCTGGGCCGCCTGGGCCAGTGGGAAGTCTGGGGTGGGGGCATGAGACAAAAACCACTCCAGCCTCTGCAGTGGCCTCTGCTTTCTTCTTTGGTCTTCTTCTTCTCTCCAGAAACCTTTCCCCATTTCTTCTTTCCATCCAGGTGCTGTGTCCCAATATTGGCCCCTCTTGGCACCAGAGACCCCAATAGCTCATTTGCAAAGAAATAGTGTGGGCAAAAAAAGAGCCCAGGCAGTGGTTTACTGTGTTCTGTATACCATGAACATATTTGCATTTGCAGGTCAGCTTAAAATAATGCCTCTAGTAATTATTTCAGGTTCTGGAGAGACAGGTGAAAATAATTTGGGGCCAAGGGAACTTCCCACTACTCTCCAATTTTTATACCTAAAGAGATGGCCTGTTTCTCTGACATGCAACCTCGGTCTTGGGACTAAGGCTCTGAACTAAAATGAGTCTATTCAATTATGGGCACAGGTTCACGGTTCTGTATAATATCTTCTGTCTGCTGTTCCAGAGAGCATTAGTGCTATTTACAAGAGCTGTCCTGTACAGAATGAAAGCTTTTCTAAATCTCTGTTCATTTGTATTCTTTAAATATGTTTATTGAGTGCTTACTATGTCCCAGGTACTGGGACTTCACAGGGAGCAAAAAAGACATGGTCCTAATACTTTGAAGCTTCTAGCCTGGAGAGAAAATAGTCTCACTAAAAATGACTGTATAGCAACAATGCTGTGGAGGGAAGGAAATAGTTCTTTGTAATTGTGCTCACTGTTTAATAACTATGTCATTGAGTTTGATATTTTGGTTACTTCAATATCCCTGGATGTCGATGTCCCTTCCCGGTGGAGGTGAGGATTGGATTTTTATGGAGATGAGGCGGGGGGGGGCAGGTTGGGGAGGGGAGAACTTGAAAGGTGAAAAGGTGAGCCACGCCAGATTCTATAAGAGAAAAATTCAGGTTCCAGTGCCATATCTCAAACGCCAGCTAGAGGTGAGAGTGAGGTTAGGGGTCTCTGGGCCAGGATACTGAGGCTGTGAAGAGACAGAGCTGGAGTAAAACATGTCTGCAACAGGCAAGGAGGGTGCTGGGCAGGTTAGTGGGTGGTTATCCAGAGTCCAAGCAAGTCTGGACAAGTCGTCTTTCATGGTGGGGCAGGTAAGAACATGTGGGAGGCAGGCAGGAAGGGTCTGGCGATGGGCTGGGCACGCAGTCTTTATCAGGTGCTCATCCTCATCTCTAAGCGAATATAGAGACTTGTTTCTAACTGGGCATCGGCACGTCTGTACTCTGCCTGAGGTTTGGAAAATAGGCGCCGTTTTGAATATGTGTTGAGGAAGAAAAGTGTGTCTCCTGCACATCCCCCATCGAGATGGGAAAGGTCCTGTTCCCTTTTGTGAGTATGGCTCCTTTCTGAGTTCCATTTCCTACTTAGATAGATTCACTCCAACTTAAGTTTTAATGGCTAAAAACAAAAAGAAACAACGAAAAAACACATTTCTGCCAGCTTGCACTTGCATTTTAACAGGGGTTTTCAAAAATGCCTTAACCCAAGGAATGAGTAATTTGGAAATTCCAGGGTAGGGATGGTACTTGAAATGGGGAGATGGGGACACCTCTCAAATTGTGCCTCTGAAATATTGACTTTCTCTCTTTGACCACGATTCTGGTTCTGAGAGAAAGAAAAGGAAGGGGCTCCCTTGGGCGGCCAGGACTGGGGTGGCTGCCTTTTAGAGACTGAATGTGCGCAGACTCAGGTACCTTTAAAACTTTGCATGATACTTAGCCATAGGCACTTTTTGGCAAAATGGAAGAAGTGGTTTCCAAAGCCATTGACAATTTGAAAAAGGCATGATCCTTGACATAGAAAGGTCTGATTCTAGATGTAACTGGGAGAGCTGGGTATCTATCTTGTATACAGACTTGCCATTCGGAGACTCTGAATGAGAGAGGAGAATGAACTCTTCATTTTAATGCTTTAATTACCTACAATATTGGGGAGTGAATGAAAGAATCCTCTGCTCCTTAAGTATTTGCATAAACATTTCTTCCTTGTACCTATGTTCCCCTCAGACCCATGTGGAGGCACTCTGCTCTCAAATGGGTGAGGGGAAAGACAGAAAAATTCTCCGAAAGTGGAGGCTCCAGGGGGTTTGCTCCAGGAAAAGGTTGGAAACCAAGTCAGACATACTGTACAGCCTGAGCTAGAAGGAGACGTGGCTGGTGGTGGAGCTCAAGGAAAGCGGCGCTGAGGATGGGTGACATGTGTCTGTAGCCAGTGATCTCACGTGTCCACCAGACACCGGGAAGTCTTCGTGTTTTCATCAAGGCATCACTGACACACGTATCTTTTTAGTCCTGCTGGTTCAGCCTCTTCACCTCAGGTCCATGAGCCTTTAATACTGGCTTTCTTGGTCACTCTGATATCAGCCCTCACCTCTTTCCTCAGGCTACTGATGGGCTTATTTTCTGTAAACTTTCATTGCAATTTTTCTGCTCCCTAACGATTAATCCCAACTCCTAATTCTCTTGTCAAATCAAATATAAACTCCTTATGTGACTTTCTAGGCCCCCTTAAGCTATCCTACCCTACTTATAGGAGCTAATTTCTCATTGTTTGCCCAAAGTGCACCTCTCTTTCAGTCTAGTCAATGTTTCCTATCATCCTGCAAAAGCTCATGACCATTCCCCCACTTACATGTGTCCCTATAGACTATTATATTTTCCTGTGGCTTAGAAATTTGCCAATGCTTCTTATACCAATAAGAAGCCTTAAACACAGGGTTATGCCTCTGTTCTTGTACATGTGTGTGCACACATGCGTATCACGAATGTGGTTGAAATATTTATCCATTTGAACTCAATCCAACATTTAAGAGTAGTTCATCAGGAGACAGTAGTTCTTGAAGACATCAGCTGGATGCCTAGGATGGCGGGTTGTACCTCTTCAGGAATCAGTTTGGGAGGCTCTCATGAGAAGAACTGGTGGAAGCTCGCAAAGCCTTTTAAGGACAGAGGCAGGAGTCCACTACATTGCGTTCTAGGCAATCCACAATTGCTGATGTAAAAGGAAAACAGCAGTTCTCTGAGAAAAGCTGTGAAGCAATGCAGTGGCAACTCTCAGGAGTGAAAGTATCAAAATGAGTAGGCTTAGCTAGAGCCCATACTGAATAAAAGCCTCATCTGCTCCAACAGAAATCAACTGTCCTGCAAATACCCCATGCCTAGCTCACTATGTTCCGTTCACAGGATACAGTTCTGAGACCAAGTCTGACCTACCTTTACACCTTCACCCCACCTTTTGGGCTATAGGATTGTTCTCTTCTGAAGCCCTGGACCACCTGTAGTCAGCTCAGCAGATCCTGCAAACAGGGGGACCCTCCAAATGTGCTGTACTGTAGCATACCGTGCTAAAAATTAGAGAAATGGACTCAGGGTGGGGGCAGAGAAAAGCAGTGTGTTCAGGTCATCTACTTTCTATTTCTTCATTTCTTGGAATGTCATAAGAACCTTAAAGGAAACTTAAAAGTTATAGAGTTCAACTACCCACCCAAATCAAGCTCCTAAAATGCTTGAGCAATTGTGGTGATGAAAGAGCTCCTTACCTCACGAGAACATCCAGTCTTTGGGTGTAGCACTCTATTCCAAGTTCTTCATTATCTAAAACTGAACTCTGGTTCCCTGTAGCCAATTATCGGGAGTTGTACTTGCCTTCCAGTAACATTGTGTGCATTGTCCCACAGGAGGGCCTTTCGATATCTGCAGAGATGTGTCATGTACTTCTTCAAGTTTATTGCCCCCAGTCCTTTTAACTGTGCCTCACTTGACATACTTTCATTATTTTCTAGTGAATTGTGCTGCTCCTTCTCTTGATAAGCTCTGTTTTTTTTTAGTGTCATTCAAGTGTAACTAACCTCACTAATGTGATACCACAAGTAATGGGCTCTGATAAGCACTGAATATATTGACCAAACTCTGCGCTAAGATTAGAATTCACTTTTGGTTAGCCATTCCACGCTCACATCTGTGTGATTTTTTTTTTCATTTACTATGAATAAGCTACTTCTCTCTCTCTTTTTTAAATAAGCTACTTCTCTGTTGACCATTTATTCCGCTTCACAGTTGTTATTTTAAAACTTAAGTAAGACCTTTATGCTTATCCCCATGAGATTCACCACGTTAGTATCAGACTCTTTTGGGGAGGTTTACGAGTATTATTAATTCAGCTGATGAACTGACCAGTAACCACCTGGCTCATTTTTGTGTCATCTGCACCTTTGAAAGCAGAAGCATGATTTCTGTGCTTTCATTCATAGTTCTACTAAATATGTGAAAGTGAAAAAGTAAAATCCCACTCTGATACCAGCCTATTAAACACGAATGATTCCTGGTATTTGGTTGTTGAATAAATGAATGAATCAATCAATGAATCAATCAATACCTTGTCATCATCCTCTGTATTTAATCTGTCACTATATCCTGTTGATTATAATCCTAAATATTGCTTGAACCACTTCTTTCTACTTCTGTCCCTTCCACCCCAGGCCAAACAGCCACCTTCTTTTACTTAAATGACTGCCAACTAATTGAGCTCCTGGCATCTATTCTGGCCTCCCTGCTGACTATTTGCTTCACAGTAGCCAGAGTCAT